TAATATTGCCCCACATTCTCAAGTGCAATAACCTATATTATCCTCTGGAGGGCAATCTCTTAAAACTTCCATTTGCTTAATCTTTCAATCTAAAACTCCATCAAGCAACAAGAAGGGATAAACCTAGATAAAATGCCAGTTAAAAATTAATATTACTAAGCCATTCAGTAATGGCATAATACAGATGTTTCTAAAACAAACAGCCTTCCCTTTCAGAAAATGCTAACTTGAATACTGAAGTCAATTACTATTAAAAATGGGGGGGGGGATCTTTATTACAAAAGGTAAAGAAATATCCAGTCAATCTCAGAACTCCCCCTTTCCCCCAAATTAAAATATAAATAATTTCATTTTTAACATGTCATTTTCACGCATGTGCACACACAGTCCCATCTTCTATTGTTAATTCAGTAAATACTTTTAAATCCTAGGATCTAACTGTCCATATGGCAAAAGTAAAAAGATGTAGCTATGACAGAAAATGTTGTGGTAACCCAGATAAATTAAAAAAGAATGTGGAATTACTTACAGCATTATGCCTGTATTTATTTTCAACGTTCCAGATGTGGTGGAAGTGGTTTCTAGAGCTGCACTTGTGTCATTTTTTTCCTTGCTGTTTACTAGAACATTAGTCACCCAAACAAGTCATCAATCAATATCACTTAGGGTTGCCAACCTCCAGATGGGGCCTGGAGATCTCCCAGAATCATGACTGATCTCTAGACTACAGAAATTAGTTCCCCTGGAGAAAATGGCTGCTTTGGAGGATAGATTTTATGGCATTAGATCCTCCTGAGGTCCCTCCCTAGGCTCTACTCCCAAATCTCCAGGAATTTCTCATCCCACAACTGGCAACCCGAACATCACTACAATAATAAGCTGTGGAAGTATGATTATGAAAGGAGTTTAGTTTCTAAACAATGTTGCCTGGAGTTGCCTTTCTGTAACTGAGGTATAGTGACTGGTACCATGTAAACATGTTGCAAATGCTTTCCCCCGTCATAGATTAATTAATCACTGTGGCTTAAAGATAGCAAAAATCTACTGCTGATTTTAGGACCACGGAAACGTCTTCGGACAGCGCTGGCTCTTCGGCTTTGAAACAGAGATGAGCACCGCAACCCTACAGTCAGATTCGACTGGCTTTCGAGCAAGGGAACCTTTACTCACATCTTACACTTGCACCAATGTGGGGGGTTTTTTGGCTAAGAGTTCCCATGCCCCATCATTCAGTCACATACTTTCCAGGATAAAACTTATACTGCCAGAATTTTATACTGACCCTCTGGCAAGATAGCTGTTGAAAGTGCTGGTTGTATGACTGAGCATCTGAAGAGTTGTTGCTTATTCCAGAGCTCCACTGTGCCACCAAACAATGTGGGTGGGCTCTGTCTCCATACATCACACTTCAGTAGGATTTGGTGGGTGTCATTAGATCAGGCACCACAGCTTCAAAGTGATCTCATGTTTCAAATATATGAATGGTATGGATTGCCTGTGGTTTGAATGCCTTTTTGTTGGGAAGCTAGTGGGTACCTGCCAACTAACTAATCTTCTCTCTGAGTTTTCCGTTCAAAGGTATAATACGGTAATCCCAGCCTGCCCTCCCTGGGCCACCTCCTGTGACAGGGTGATCAAAGCTACCATAGATGATGGCAGTTCTATGCAAGAAAGGGTTGGTTACGCCTCTCTGGGAAGAGTCCAAATAAACAGATGTTTTAATAGAAGCCTGGGGAAGCTGCTATGGTAATAGTGGTTGTGCTATTAGTCCCACTCAAGTGGATGCTGCAGTAAGAGCCTCCATTCTGAACCCTCATTTGGCTCAGAAGCGTGACTTTGTCATTGGGCTTTCCTCTGAGAGCCAGTTTGGTGTAGTGGTTAAGTGCGCGAACTCTAACCTGGGAGAACCGGGTTTGATCCCCACTTGTACCTGCTGGATGACCTTGGGCAAGCCATAGTTCTGGCCCAGCTGTTCCTGAAAAAGAGCAGTTTCTGTCAGAGCTCTCTCAGCCCCACCTACCTCACAGGGTGTCTGTTGTGGGGAAGGGAAGGGAAGGGAGTTTGTAAACTGCTCTGAGACTCCTTTGGGTAGTGAAGGGCGGGGTATAAATCTAATCTCCTCCTCTTCTTCTTCTTCTTCACCAACAATGTGTCAAATCTCTTATTTCACCACAACCTTTCCAGCAATTTGGAGTTGATTTAAATTTACTTTTAAATAAGCGGTCGGGTGTAAGGTACCACCTCACATGTAATTTAAAGTGTTGTAGCTTTAAATTAATATGTCTACTGGTAAACATACTTGAAGACCAAATTTGGCTCCATTGTGTTTCTGAAAATGTCGTTCCACAATCTCTCTGCCAAGCTAGTTGAATCGAAGAAAGGTTTGTCCAGGTTTTCTTACACAATAAATGATAAATTTTTGCTAATAAACCTTTGACCTCTTGACCCTGTTTTTTCAAAAAGGATTCAAAAGTTGTCAAATTTCTATTAATATTAGATGTATGACAGAGTTGATATCATATGATGGAGCTGGGAAAAGGACAGTCACCGATTTGAGGTACCTTATTTCTGTTCTATTTGTTGTTGTGTACTGATTTTGCCATTAAAGAGAAAGTCACTTACCCTATAAATGCCTTTAGCTCTAAACCCGGACATAAAGTGCTTGTCTATACCTGGTATAAACCAGGATTGCCCAAATATGGAAGTTATTGGAGATACTCCAGGAGCCAAGATATGTCTGTATTTATGCCAAAGCTGTAAGGTGTGCCTTAGAAAAGGATTAGATAATTTCGATAGCGATTGCAAGTTTGATGTAGTCCAAATAACCTCATTAAGACAATTGGGTAACATTTCTAATTGTTCAATATAATGCCACGTTTTAGTACAGGTGTAAAGAGAGTAATAATGGATATTTCTTAATTGTGAGGGAAGGTAATATTTTTCTAAATCAGGTAGTCCTATGCCCCGTAATTTAGAAGGTTTAGTCAATGTAATATAGTTTATCCTAGCCTTTTTCCCATTCCATATGAATTTGATTATTAATTTTTTCCAAAGTAAAATGTCTTTTGTCGGTATCGGAACAGGTAACTTTTGAAATAAATATAAAAATTTAGGGAGTAGTATCGATTTAAGGAGATTAACCTTTTCTAACAGATTTAGATTTAATCTGTTCCATTCAATCAGTGTAGATTTATAAGTGGATTGTAATTGATTGTATATATATCAGATAGATTTAATGGGCTATGAATTCCCAAATGTTTCCAACTAGTGTTTACATAAGAACATAAGAGATGCCAATGTTGGATCAGGCCAAAGGCCCATCCAGTCCAACACTCTGTGTCACACAGTGGCCAGAAATACCAGTGCCATCAGGAGGTCCACCAGTGGGGCCAGGACATTAGAAGCCCTCCCACTGTTGACCCCCCCACCCCAAGCACCAAGATGACAAAGCATCACTTGCCCCAGGGTCCCTATCTATACCTTGTGGCTAATAGCCACTGGTGGACCTCTGCTCCATATGCTTATCTAATTCCCTTTTGAAGCCGTCCATGCTTGTAGCCGCCACCACTTCCTGTGGCAGTGAATTCCAAGTGTTAATCACTCTTTGGGTGAAGAAGTACTTCCTTTTATCCGTTCTAACCCGACCGCTCAGCAATTTCATGGAGTGCCCACGAGTTCTTGTATTGTGAGAAAGGGAGAAAAGTACCTTTCTCTACCTGCTCTTTCCCATGCATAATCTTATAAACCTCAATCATGTCACCCCTCAGTCGTCGTTTCTCCAAGCTAAAAAGCCCTAAGCGCCTTAACCTTTCCTCATAGGGAAAGTGTTCCAACCCTTTTATCATTCTAGTTGCCCTTTTCTGCACTTTTCCCAAAGCTATAATATCCTTTTTAAGGTGTGGTGACCAGAATTGCACACAGTATTCCAAATGAGGTCGCACCATTGATTTATATAGCGGCATTATGATATTGGCTGATCTGTTTACAATACCCTTCCTAATAATCCCCAGCATAGCATTGGCCTTCTTTATTGCAGTCACACACTGTCTCGACATCTTCAGTGAGTTATCTACTACAACTCCAAGATCTCTCTCTTGATCAGTCTCTGCCAGTTCAGACCCCATCAACGTGTATTTATAGTTAGGATTTTTGGCTCCAATGTGCATCACCTTGCACTTGGCCACATTGAACCCCATTTGCCATGTTGACGCCCACTTGCCCATCTTTGACAGATCCCTTTGGAGTGCCTCACAATCCTCACTGGTTTTCACCACCCTGAACAACTTCGTATCATCCGCAAATTTAGCCACTTCACTGCTTACTCCCAACTCCAAATCATTAATGAACAAGTTAAAAAGCAGTGGACCAAGTACTGATCCCTGCGGTACCCCACTGCTTACCACCCTCCACTGAGAAAATTGCCCACCTACACTCACTCTCTGTTTTCTATGAACTAGCCAGTTTTTGATCCATAAAAGGACTTGTCCTTCTATCCCATGATTTTTGAGCTTACTTAGGAGCCTTTGATGAGGAACTTTATCAAAAGCTTTCTGGAAGTCAAGGTAAATAATATCTATTGGATCCCCCTTGTCCACATGTTTGTTCACCCCCTCAAAGAACATTAACAGGTTAGTGAGACAAGATCTTCCCTTACAGAACCCATGTTGAGTCTGCCTCAATAGGTTTTGTTCATCTATGTGCCTACTAATTCTTTCCTTAATAATGGTTTCCACCAATTTACCCGGTATCGACGTCAGACTGACTGGCCTGTAATTTCCCGGATCTCTTCTGGAACCCTTTTTAAAGATGGGAGTGACATTAGCTACCTTCCAGTCCTCAGGAATGGAGGCAGGTTTTAAGGAAAGATTACATATTTTTGTCAGGAGATCCACAAGTTCACATTTGAGTTCTTTCAGAACTCTCAGATGTATGCCATCTGGGCCTGGTGATTTATCAGTTTTTGAGTTGTCTATCAGTTTTAGGACCTCCTCTCTCGTCACCTCAATCTGACTCAGGTCTTTTTTGATGTCAGATGCTCCATTTGCTGAGGAGAAAGGTATATAGGGAAAATTTCAGATTTCTTATAATTAACGGCAAAACCTGATACTGTGCCAAAAAAATTTAAGTTAATCAGTAGAGTTTGTAATGAATTTTCTGGTTGAGTTAAATAAAATATTGCATCATCAGCATAAAGACTTATTTTAAGATGTTCTGAGTTTATTTTAATACCTTGTACTTGTGTGTCTGATCTGATCGCATGAGCCAAGGGTTCTATAAACAGGGCAAACAGAAGAGGTGATAGGGGGCAGCCTTGTCTGGTTCCCCTTTTCAGTTGTATATCATTGGATCTAAAATGATTAACACATATTTGGGCTTTTGGGCATTGGTAAAAGGCTTGTATTGTTTGTCTAAAAATAGGACCAAAATCCATTGCAACAAGAAGCTCTTGTAAGTATAACGGTTCCACCCTGTCAGAGGCTTTTTCAGCGTCTGTAGACAGGAGGAGAGATTTTATTACTCTTACAGTAATTAATGACATTTAAAGTTTTACAGACGCTATCAGCAATAGAGCGTCCTGGCATGAATCCTGACTGATCGGCATGAACATAATTTATTAAGTCTTGTGGCTAAAATAGTTGATAAAATTTTGAAATCGTGGTTTAAAATAGATATAGGCTTATAAGAAGAGGGTAAGACTTTATCCTTACCAGGCTTAGGTATTACAATAATACGTGCCTCAGACCAAGATTGTGGCATGGTTCCGGATTGTAAAATAAAATTCAAAGTTTTATTACGGTGTTCCAGTAAAACTGCTTGAAATTTTTTGTAAAACTCAATCAGGATCCCATCCTTACCTGGAGTTTTATTGTTCTTTATTTTCGACAAGGCTTGAGTTACTTCTGCAGGGGTTATGGGCTGGTCCAAAAAGCTCTGATGCTCTTTAGTTAGTTTAGTATTAAAAGCTATTCAGGCCAGGTAATCTTGAATGGTTTTTTATCTGGCTTATCTGAGGTATAAAGATGTTAAAAATATTCACTAAAAACTCTGGTAATCTTATCAGGAGTTACCTGTAGTGTACCCTCTGAACTTCTTACTGCATGAACCATATTTGATGTACATTTTTGATCTACTCTATGTTTAAGTAATTTTATTGATTTAGAGGTAACATATTTTTGTTTTTAAAATAATAACTTTTTAAAAATTTTAGATGTTTCCAAAAGTTCCAATTTCTTCCGTTCTTTAAAGTTTTCCCACCAAAGCACATATGTTTTAATTCTAGTACTTTAATAGATCGTTGAAGGTCCATAATTAATTTCTGTCTTTCTTTTTTACAGAAAGAAGCCAGTGATATTAACTGTCCCCATATTACAGCCTTAAATGAATCCCACACAATAGGTGGGTCAACTTCATCCGTAGCGTTAAAGCAGAAATATTCCTTAACCTTATCCTCAATTTCTTTGTAAATCTATCATTTTGCAATAAAGTATTATTGAGCATCCAATTGGGCCCCTTACCGTCATTCTGCTGTTTTCAAAAGGCTCCTATGACCCATGCATGGTCAGACATTGTCACGGTTCCAATCAGTGTTCCCTCTAAGCTGAGTTAGTGTGAGCTAGCTCACAGTTTTTTAGCCTCCGGCTCACACATTTTTGTCTTAGCTCAGAAAGAATGGCTCCAGAGCCAACTAATTTATGCAGTAGCCAAATCACTCGCTCACAACTTTAATGCCAGTAGCTCACAAAGTAGAATTTTTGCTCACAAGACTCCACAGCTTAGAGGGAGCATTGGTTCCAATATCTGAATCAGTGAAATGTGGGAGTAATGTTGTGGAAACCAAAATAAAATCAATACGTGAATAATTGTCATGAGTATGTGAATAGAATGTATATTGCTTTACATCCGGGTTTAAGACTCTCCATAGATCTAACAAATTATAATGGTCTAATATTTTGGCCAATTCAGTAGGGGAAGTTATTTTTCTTTGATTAATTGTCTTAAAACGATTATAGGTACGGTCTAAAGTAAGATTAATGATATAATTCAAGTCTCCCCCATCATAATTTCTCCTTGTTTGAATGTCATTAATTTATCTAAGACATCTTTTAAAAAATTAATTTGATCACTATTGGGCACGTAGATCGACCTCTAGGATCTATTTTTGAGTGAGCATGTTGAAATGGAAAATTCTTAGACAAAAGTATTGTTGTACCTCTGGCTTTTGAAGATCCAGCTGCATGATATTGCCGATCAAACCATGACTTTTCAAAACTTGCTTTAAAGGTTTCTTCAAGTGTGTCTCCTGTAAGCATAAAATGTCAGGATTTTCTTTGGTCCAAAAAGATGAGACTCAATAAAGTTTCTTTTTACTGTTTAAACCTTTGGCATTTCAAGTAATTATTTTAAATGGTTATTTTGATTTCATTTTTATCAACTACAAAGTCCAAAAAGACTCAAAAAATAATATCTTGTATTAGACTCGCAGTCCACTAGTATCCCTATAATAACACTTTATATTCCTTTATTTATCTATATAAGAATAATTTTAAAAATTGCTAACCTATTTTATTTAAAACTTTCAACAACAAACTACCTTATTTCTTATAGGGTACTCTTCCTGTTACACAGCAAAGGGGTGACCACTATTGTCTCCCCTGATTTTTCTTTTTTTCACAAAATTAAGACTTAACAAGAAAAACAGAATAACATTGGTATAGAAAATATTTCCCATGAATGCCTTTTTTCATTTAAGAATGATTAAATCTTAAATCAGATTAATAACACTATAGTAAATGTTCTTAACCAATATATCAATAAATCCCATGTCTGCAAGTAACAAACAATGTTAGGTTTTATAAATGCAAAAATTAATATAACAATGCAACTTTTAACTACTTCTTTTTATCTTTTTCTTTTTCATTTTTTTATATAAAGAAACAAAGCTTAACACAGATTAATAACAGTTTTCTAACCATTCATAACCAGGGGTCATTTCGTAGAAAAAGAGCTAGGGGAACTCATTAGCATAACTCATTAGCATATGCCACACACCCTGACATCAGGGGCCCGGCGGTGGACCTGCAAGGCCAGCGGGAGTGCGAGGAAGCCCCACCAAGGCCCTCCCTGGCCCCAGGCAGGCAGGGGTGGGGAGAGGCGGGGAGGAAGCAACTTACCCTCCCTCTTCTCCTGCCTCCTCCTGGCTGAATGAGGGCTGAAAGTGAGGCGGGCGGAAGCAGGGGGCGGGGCTTCATCATGTGCCCCGCCCCCCTGCACCTCACCCGGGGGAACT